GAAATCAAGATACTATCCGGTCGATTTCCAGGCTTCATAGCTTGAATTTGAGATATACCACTATCTGGTCGATTCCAGGCTTCGTAGTATTTTGGAGAAATCAAGATATTATCCGGTCGATTTCCGGGCTTCATAGCTTGAACTGGAATAGAAATCTTAGTGTCGATTTGACTGAACCAGGGGAAACTTGTGAGAACTTCAACTGGGAGAGAAATCTTAGTGTCGATTTGACTGGTCCCGGGAGAGGTCTCGGATTAACTTTGAATGGCATAGAAATCAGGGGAATCTTAAAGGCGATTTGGCTGACCCAGACAAAAATCTTAGAACATCTTCAACTACAATAAAAACCTTAGTGTTGATTTGATTGAACTAGGGAAAACTTGTGAGAACTTGATTGCATCTCACTACAAGAAAAATGTCATTTTACGACATATAGATTGCGACAGTTACTTGATACCCGTCGTAACTCTAATATAGAGACGTGTGTCATGACGATATATACCAACCACCCTAAAAATTATTTCACAACGGTTTAAAAACCGCCCTAAATTATATGTCACGACGGTACATTAACCGCCGCATGAAAAAATCTAATTACTTGAAAAAAATTATTTGAAAATCATCAAAGACCACGACACTGACTTACCGTCGTGTCCAATTACTTAAAAATTACCAAATTCACAACGGTGAACATACCGTTGCCTACAATTACAAAACATCCACGACAGAGTCCCACCGTCGTCATCCAACAACTCATATTTCGCGCAGTGCCCTTGTGTTTTTTCTTCACTACCAAACAAAATTCACGCACGCAAATGAGTTAGGATTTTGATTCATCGTCAAATAATCTCTCTCAGCCAAACAAAATTCACGCACGTAAATGAGTTAGGGTTTTGATTCATCGTCAAATAATTTCGCTCAGTCACGCAAATGGGTTTAGGGTTTTGTATCGTCGTCAAATAATTTCTCTCAGCCACGCACACCGTCAAAGTAACCACTATCAATTTGAATCTTAACAGGTTTGTCTTCTCAAACCCTAAATCCCTTTTCAAGCCCTAAATTTATTCTGCAAATATATGTGATGAATGAATTCTACTCTTCAAAAATCCCAATGTTTCTTTTCTTAGATATATTGAAGACATAAAAATGTATTTGCTGATTTATAAGTTTTGAGTTTATAAGTGAAAATGTATTCAATTTGTGATTTATAAGTTTTGAGTTTCAGTTATGCGTTTTGAGTTTGATTTTATAAGTTCTGAATATGCTGTTGAGATGAATGTGCTGATGAGTTTGAGTTTTGAGTTACAGTGGAAATGCTGTTGAACTGAATATGCTGTCTTTGGAAATATAAAATATTTTTATGCAAATATGTGTGTTTTTGTTTCATATTGTATATTCTGGAAATGATGCATTATGAAGAAAGTACTGAGGATTATGTTTATTGAAAAACTGGAGTTTGATTACATTAGAATAAGACTACAACATATTGGAACAATTTTGTTGTTATACTCATGTACAGGAAATACAAAAGAAGTTAATACTAGATAGGTATATAACTTGTAACCATGTAAAAGAGCAGCCTTGAAATGAGATAGGTATATAACTTGTAAGCAATTTCTTCTAATTTTATAAATGAGATTAATGATTCTCTAGGAATTACAGTCTCACAATATTTGAAACTTGTATTTGGAATTTTAAAATAGAACCAAATTTTTCCAATCTCACAAACACATAGCATCCACATGATAACAGAAGGAAACTACTGTCGTTTGACCAAATTTTGTTGACAGGCATGTGAACAACTGAAGCTAGCTATGACTATAGTACATTTTATTTTAGGTGTAATTGGGTGCTATGCATGTTCCTGTTCTTAAAAATTGTTGCCCTTTTTTCACCATAGATTCAAAGGATAAAATTAAAATATGAATATGCTTTTCTATGCTTTTATTTATTATCATTAAAATAATTTCAACAGGAAATGGATTAATGAACCTTTGCAGTTCTCATGAGCAGCAGATCTGAAACTTTAAAATAACATCTCTACACATCATATGTTAAAAATGCACATCATACAATTCCCTAACAATTGAGGAGGTGTTTTAGTTACTTTCATTAATAGATAAAATGAACTTTATATACTTAACTAGTAAGAATTATATTAGAGTCCAGCTAGCAATTATTTAGCACCGCCATATAGTTCCTTAACTTATAAATTTAGTGTACTTTCTAGTCTATATAATTGTATCTCATCTATGAGATAGTGATATTAAGTTTAAATGTATTTGTTGATTTATAATTTTTGAGTTTATAAGTGAAAATGTATTCAATTTGTGATTTAAAAGTTGAGTTTCAGTTATGAGTTTTGAGTTTGATTTTATAAGTTCTGAATATGTTGTTGAGATGAATGTGCTGATGAGTTTGAGTTTTGAGTTATAGTGGAAATTCTGCTGAACTGAATATGCTGTCTTTGGAAATATAAAATATTTTTCTGCAAATATGTGTGTTTTTGTTTCATATTGTATATTCTGGAAATGATGCATTATGAAGCAGGTATTGAGGATTATGTTTATTGAAAAGGTTGTACATTAGAATATGTTGTAAAAGGTTGTACAACCTGTTATTGATCTTCAGGCAGAATAAGACAACTGATAATAGAAGGCAGATTCTTTCCCAACCTATTAGTCATGATCTTCAAATTTATCTTGTAAAAGGTTGTACAACCTGTTATTGGCCTATAGTCCCTCACATACTTAGCATCATCCTTCTTAGGGATCAAAGTAACAATTGTTTTGTTAAACACCCTATAAAGCTTACTCTGCTAAAAAAACTCCCTTATAGCAGCAACCACATCACTTTTAACAGTATCCCACTAGGACTTAAAAAATCTAGAACCATATCCATCACTTTTAACAATATCCCATAGTAAAATTGATAATATATATCCTTCTCCCTATTTTACCTAAGTCTTAGCTTATGCTTCATTTTGTTTTTCTATGTTGTGTTTGTTTTGCTTTTGAACATTAGAATGTTTAGTATTGGGCTTTCATAGTTTAATCTGATAGCCCATTGATAAATTTGCCTAGCTTGTAACACTCCTTTTCTATTTTAAAAAAAGTTTGTAGTACACTTTTTGTTGTTGCAATTGTTTCAAGAAGTTTTTCCTGTCACTTTTTCTTAAAATAGAAACCTCACTGACAAGAAAATATCTTTGGTCCATACTCGGATGACAACCCTGTCTCAAGGCTTATATTCAAATTGGAGGAATATCTAAAGAAGCATTTTAGAGAGTTCAGGCATGCCCATTGCTCTCCTTTAAAGCAGGTAAAATTAGCTAAGTTAATTTTCTATATTCTGTTTGGATACCTGCTCTTCTTTAAAGTAGGTTAAATTATCTAAGTCAATCTTTTATAATCTGTTTGGATACCCCTTTTTTTAACTTGAATCGTCAACTAAAATTTGTTGCTACCAATTAGATTTGCTTCCAGCAACATGCTCTGCAAATTTATGTGTTTATGTATTATTATGATATTTATACCATGGTAAAATTGATATTATATCTCCTTCTCCCTATTTGACCTAAGTCTTAGCTTATGCTTCATTTTGTTTTTCTGTGTTGTGTTTGTTTTGCTTTTGAACATTAGAATGTGTTCTATTGGGCCTTCATAGTTTAGTCTGACAGCCCATTGATAAATCTTGCCTAGCTTGTAGCAATCATTTTCTGTTTTAAAAAAAGGTTGTAGCACACTTTTTGCTATTGCAATTGTTTCAAGAAGTTTTTTCTGTCACTTTTTCTTAAAATAGAAACCTCACTGACAAGAAAATATCTTTGGTCCATACTCAGATGACAACCCTGTCTCAAGGCTTATATTCAAATTGGAGGAATATCTAAAGAAGCATTTTAGAGAGTTTAGGCATGCCCATTGCTCTCCTTTAAAGCAGGTAAAATTAACTAAGTTAATTTTCTATATTCTGTTTGGATACCTGCTCTTCTTTAAAGTAGGTTAAATTATCTAAGTCAATCTTTTATAATCTGTTTGGATACCCCTTTTTTTAACTTGAATCGTCAACTAAAATTTGTTGCTACCAATTAGATTTGCTTCCAGCAACATGCTCTGCAAATTTATGTGTTTATGTATTATTATGATATTTATACCATGGTAAAATTGATATTATATCTCCTTCTCCCTATTTGACCTAAGTCTGAGCTTATGCTTCATTTTGTTTTTCTGTGTTGTGTTTGTTTTGCCTTTGAACATTAGAATGTGTTCTATTGGGCCTTCATAGTTTAGTCTGACAGCCCATTGATAAATCTTTCCTAGCTTGTAGCAATCATTTTCTGTTTTAAAAAAAGGTTGTAGCACACTTTTTGCTATTGCAATTGTTTCAAGAAGTTTTTTCTGTCACTTTTTCTTAAAATAGAAACCTCAATGACAAGAAAATATCTTTGGTCCATACTCAGATGACAACCCTATCTCAAGGCTTATATTCAAATTGGAGGAATATCTAAAGAAGCATTTTAGAGAGTTTAGGCATGCCCGTTGCTCTCCTTTAAAGCAGGTAAAATTAACTAAGTTAATTTTCTATATTCTGTTTGGATACCTGCTCTCCTTTAAAGTAGGTTAAATTATCTAAGACAATCTTTTATAATTTGTTTGGATACCCCTTTTTTTAACTTGAATCGTCAACTAAAATTTATTGCTACTGATTAGTTTTGCTTCCAGCAACATGCTCTGCAAATTTCTGTGTTTATGTGTTATTATGAAATTTATACCATGGTAAAATTAATACTATATCTCCTTCTCCCTATTTATACCATATAATATAATATCTATATTTTTATTTTTTTGAAGAAATGGATTACTAAGCCATTATCATCGATTGCGTATCAACAAGGGATAAAAGAATTTATTGATTTTGCATTTAAAGGTGAAAAAGAAAACGATGGAGAAATATGCCCTTGCAAACTTTGCGGTTTCAGAAAATCAAAGAGTAAGAGTGACATGCTCGACCACTTAAGTTGGTCACAATTTCCGCAGGGATACACCATGTGGATTCATCATGAAGAGTCTTTTGTACGACCTAGTACTATCTCCCCTAGTACTATTCCAAATATGGTTGAAGATACTATCATTGTCGAAGATCCTATTCAGAACATGATCAATGATGCATTTGGAGTTGATAGGAATCATGCAAATGAAATATCATATGCGTCAAATTTGGAGATTGACCAAGAAGATTATGCAATGCCAAGTGCAACTCAGGAAAGAAACGAAGCCAAGGAGTACTATGAATTGGCTAGAGAAGGAGAACAACCTTTATATGAAGGGTGTAGACGATATTCAAGACTATCTTTTTTGGTTAAGTTGTACCATATAAAGTGTTTATGTGGATTGAGTGAGAAGGAAATGACAACGATTTTAAAGTTAATAAAATATGCATTTGAATATGCAAACATTCCAAGTTTGTTCTATGAAGCTAAGAAATCAATCACAAAACTTGGTTTGAATTATGTAAAGATATCTGCATGTCCAAACGATTGTATGCTTTATTGGGGAGAAGACAAAGAGAGGGAGACTTGCAAAAATTGCAACACTTCAAAATGGAAAAAAAATGAAGATGTCTCTGTTAACAAGAAAAAGAAGAAAATTCCTGCCAAGGTTCTTTGTTATTTTCCATTAAAACCTAGATTACAGAGATTATTTTTGTCATCAAAGACGGCCGAGGATATGATATGGCATGCAATAGATACTAACAATGATGGAATGTTGAGGCATCCTAGAGATTCAGAAGCTTGGAAGAAATTTGACTTGACACATACTTGGTTTTCATCAAGTCCGCGAAATGTACGTCTTGCATTGGCTAGTGATAGGTTTAATCCTTTTGGTGTGATGAGTACAAACAATAGAATTTGGCCCGTTGTTCTCATTCCATATAACACTCCTCCATGGGTTTGCATGAAGAAGACATCATTTATAATGTCAATGATAATTCCCGGTAAAGAAACACCAGGAAATAATATTGATGTCTACTTACAACCCTTAGTCAAAGAGCTGAAGGAGTTATGGAAAGATGGTGTGGATACATACGATTCTTTCAAGAAAGAGATGTTCAAGTTACATACAAATTTGACGTGGACGATTAGTGACTTTCCAGGTTTGGGTGCACTTTCTGGGTGGAACACATACACTGTACTTGCTTGCCCATCATGTAACTTTCAAACTACACCTCTCCGTAGCGGCAAATCAAAAATACTGAAGAAGAAAATTCATTCTTTTGTTAATCTGCAACTCCAATGCTCTCAGTACCCTGCAACCAACTCCATCAGACCTCTGTAATCACTTCAACATAAAAACCATCCGCTGATACTCACCATCTTCATCCTCTAATCATCCTTACAATCTTCCACTGCTAATCTGACTCATCATCATCCCATTCACCCATCAAATAAAACCCCATTCTCTCTAAAATCAACACTATCACAAACGTAACATTCACAGTTTTGACCTCAGATTGCACAGCTTACACAAACTCACCAATAAATCTCAGAACCATATCCCTCAACCTTAAATCAACAATTTTCCACGACAACAACACTCAAACAACAATAATACGATTGCATGTTTGAAAAGTATAAGCGGAAGAGACGAAATGAAACTCAGAAGAGGAGAAGCGAAAAACGGTTTCTCGAACCTTGATTAAGAGTGAGTGAGACGAGGATCGTTGTTGCCGCTATCGTGAAAATCAGTTGAGAAAGTAAAAAATTCTAGCTAAGCGTAAGTTTGAGAAGGAATATTGATGTGAATTTGGTAGCTGTCGTTCGTAAAAGAAGGATCAAATTTGGGGGGGGGGGGTCGAAGACTGTTGTGAATTGGAACAAAGGTTAGGAACAAAGGATTCAGGTGGTGATGGATTAACAGGGATACAAATGAAAAGGGTTTCTTCTTTTCTGTCGTTTCATTTATTTCTTTCATTTAATTGTTTTGTTGTTGGAAACAACAATAATATTTTTTTTCTCTTTCTCCTTCCCAATACAACAAAACCAGCGGCGTTACTTTACAGTGTTAGGGTTATGTTTTTCTTTTCCTTTCCTTTTCTAAATTGGGTCAGCCCATTGGGCTGCTGGTCCAATTCAATCATATTTTTCCCCTTCATATTTCAAAGAAACCATAGAAATAACAAACAAGTGGCTTTAGTTCAATGACAAAGCATATCTCTAATAACTTAAGTGACCCGGGTTCAATACCTTGCCAAGACTTTTCTTCATTTTGTTTCTAATTATTTACTCTTATGACAAAATTAGTCTAGTTTTAATTTTATTTTAATTTTAAGATTCAATTAATTTTAAATACAACTTTTTTTTTAAAATTAATTAATTTTTTTCTTAGTTAGTTTAAATTAGAAACTTCTGAACAATTTTATTAGTTAATTTTTTATCATTTAGTTAACCTTTTCTTTTTTTAATTTATTTAGTTTCTATACTATAAAAAATGCTAAAATATAAAAAACATACATCTTGATTTATTTTAGTTAGATGTATTCTTTAATAGAATAGAATTTTGCTTTTCTTTCCAAGCTTTTCAGACAAATACTTAGAATTCCATTTTCATATTTTTACTTTGATTAATTGATTTTTACTTCATAAATCTGTTATAATTTTAATTAATTGTTAAAATTCGATTTGGTTGTATTGTTTGCTATTTGATCTTTTAATCGTACTCGACTCATCCCCATTTGTAAAAATTGTACCCCCATTCCCGAAAGCTCTGCAATAGCGTAGAATTTCAATTTCCGCAATTTACTGTTTTCTTTATACTGTATAGTAATTAGGCGTGAATGACAAGATTTAAAATCAATCGCTAGATAACCTAATTTCAAAGACAAAATAACTTGAAACGAACACACTTTTTTCACACACGCACCTCTAGGGTAGCCTCGCTCGTTTCCTCGGAAACACAGTCATGTCCCTCGAATATGGGACGCTTTAGCAATGACCCTTCGATAAAAAAAGATCGTAGTTCCTCGATGAACCTCGATGTTGCCTTCGATAAAACGATCTAGTCCCTTATGAAAATTGCTAAAGCGTCACATAAGTTGCTTTCGATGACTAAAAATTGACCCGCGCTTGTCCCTTTACATCCAACAATGGGGCTTCTTACCAAATCAATGGTAAGATAGCAACATCTAAAGGAGGAAGAAAAGAACATTTGAGACCTTTCGAGTAGGTAGGTTCGCTCTTAGTTGCTCACTTACTCACGACAAAAACATTTTTACATCGACACTTTCATCTCAAAACATTTTCAAAAAGACAAACTATTTTGTACACGTTCTTATAGAGACGAGAACCATTGCAAAACATCTTTTCAAAACCACTTTCAAAAACACATTCCACAAACACATATTTGAACTATTTATCGAAACAAAACTTTGTACGCGTTCTTATAGAAACGAGAATCATTACAAAGATATATTTTTTAAAATATTTTCAAAGCCCACACCACAAGCACATTGTCAAAGTAAAAGTAAGTGACCCAGCGAGTAACTAAGAGCCCATGGAAAAACATGGATGAAAAGGGTGCTAATACCTTCCCTTTTCATAATCTACCCCCCGAACCCGAGAAATAATCTTGAAAGGTCTTTCCTGTGCATTTTTGCCTTTCCTTTTGGATAAAAGAAAAGTAGGTGGTGACTCTTGCTATCCGCACAAATGCGATCGAAACGCAAAACACCAAGTTAGTTCTCCCACCGTATTACAACTGTCAAAGTGTGAATTCTTGTTAAAGGAAGTGAGTTTCCTTGGCCACATGATTTCAAGTGGTGGAATTATTGTTGATCCTTTTAAAGTGGATGTTGTGTTGTAGCGGGAGACTCCAAAGTCTACTTCCGAGATTCTAAGTTTTCTTGGTTTAACATATTATTATAAGAGGTTTATTGAGGGGTTATCAAAGTTGGCATTACCATTGACTCAGTTGACTCGAAAGGGTCAAGCTTATGTGTGGGATGTGGCATGTGAAGAAATTTTTGTGGAGTTGAAGAAGTTGACGACTTCCCCGATATTGATTCTGCCTAATCCAAGTGAATCCTTTGTTGTATATTGTGATGCATAGAAGATGGGTCTTGGTTGTGTGCTAATGCAGAATGGTCAAGTTGTTGCTTACGCCTCTACACAATTAAAGTTCATGAAAGGTATTATCCTACACATGATTTAGAGCTGGCAGCTGTGGTGTTTGTGTTGAAGATTTGGAGATATTATCTTTTTGGCTATAAGTTTAAGGTGTTAAGTGATAATAAGAGTCTGAAGTAATTGTTTGATCAGAAAGAATTGAACATTAGGCAAAGGAAGTGGCTCATACTTCTGAAAGATTATAGTTTTAATTTGAATTACCATCTGAGTAAAGCAAATATTGTGGTTGATGCTTTGAGTAGGAAGTCCTTGCATATGTCAATGCTTATGGAAAAATTGCTGGAATTGATCGAGCAATTTAGAGATATGATCTTAGTGTGTGAATAAACTCCTAATAGTGCGAAGTTGTAGATGTTGAAACTAACTAGTGGTATTCTTGAAGAGATCAGGGAAGGTCAGCGATCTAATTTAAGGTTGGTTGATCAATTCACGTTGGTTAACCAAGGTGATGGAGGTGAGTCTCAAAGTGATGAAAATGGTGTGTTGTACCCCAAAAATTGCCCTATCATTTATCAAGTATTTTCTCACAAGATCTCCTTTGGTTCAAGACTGCACAAGGGTTGATCAGCTCAAGACACCTCCTAAAGCACTGATGACTGAAATTAGGGTTTGAGATTGCATAAGGATAATTGAACTTTTAATGCCTCATATGACTTTCATGGATCATTATGTACCCTCAAGATTGCTCATGTCAAGTTTCAAGTCTTGGATCACATTTTTGCTCAGTCAATTGATCAATTGACCTAAAAATCAACTGTATTGGGGAAAAAGTCAAATGTGGTCAATTTACAGTCAAACTTCATAACTTTTGATCCATATCAACATTTTGAACTCCTATATGTCATTTGATCAAGTTTGGACCATAATTCCTCAAGAAAATTGATTAGATCATCAAAAGGGAAAAATGGTCAAAATTAGGGTTTTAATTGAGAAAAGGCAATTTCTGATTTTTTGACCTAGCAAATGGTTGATTGGTTGGAAACATGATCTCAAGGATTCAATTAAATCATTTTTGAACTAATGTAATGACTCAAAACATTGCTCAAGGTCATTTGATTGATAGTTGATTTTCAGTCAACTGATCAAAAGTCAAATGTACACTGAAAAGTAAAACTTTGACTTTTTGGTCAAAATCAAGTTTCAAAGATCACAATTCATCAAAACATGTCAAATTATGAAACTTGTTCATCAAGAAATCAAAAAGTCAAGATTTCATTTTGAAAAGTCAAAGTTTCCAAACTTAGAAATTTTTTTAAGTGTTGAAAACTTCATATTTTTTGACAACTTTGAGCCAATTTTTCACCATGATGCAGGATGATTCAAAGGAAACTTTAAACATGAAAGTTGTAGATCTCAATGAGATATAAAACATTTATGAACACAAATTCTCCTAGAAATGCATGGATTTCAAGTTATAATTTTGTGAATACATGTTCATGAAACTTGGAAACTTAGTGAAATTTTGCCCTAGTTTAGGCAGGATTTTGACCTAACTTCATGGCAATTTTTCACATAGTTCCAAGGGGAATTTTCAAAAGTGACCAACATAGAGGTTGTAGAGGATGTTACAAGTTTTCCAAAATGTCCAATAAATCAATGAGATCATGTTTGAGCAAGGAGAATCGAAGGCATGAAGTTGGCATTTCATTCTTGAATTATAGGTCATTTCCATGATGAACAAGAATGCAAATCCATGCTAGGATGCACAATCTTTGCTTTGCAGGCCTCAAACTTGTTTGGCACTCCATAATTAAATGTTTTCACAGCTGTAAGAAGCTTCAATCTAATAATTCAATGCATTGCCTATGCTTAATGCCATTTTGGGAAGAAAGTGCACATTGCCATTTTGGAAAAGTAGCTTTTATGCACAAAATCAGTTCTTGAGCTTTGCACTTGTTTGCTTCTGATCACGCACAACCTATAACCCAAAAGAAACTTGTCTAAAGCCTTTAACAACTCAGCCTATGCTTGTACTTTGCCTTGAAACTATATTTCCACTTTTCTTCAAAATCAAGTAAGAGGGCCATAACTTTACATCTTGCACTTCTGACCCTCTAAAGTGCTAGAACCTTTTCCTTACTTATGCACAAGTTGTTTGCAAGCTAACACACAATTCCAAGCCTCCAAGAACTCTCCAAAACACCCTTGCTGCAC